CTTGATGTCGAGGGTAAATGGGCGAGGTTTAGGACTGTGACTCATGCAGCTACAATGGTTGCTTTGGGTACGCGGTCCAGACCTCCCCAGAGACCCTGGCTGACAGAGGAGGTGTTCAGGATAGTTGAGAAAAAGCGACAGGCCCACTCTCATCGGCTACAGCATCCCACGTCAAAGAATGAGGAGGCTTACCGCAGCCTTCGCTCGGAGGTTCAGAGAACCGTAAGGCGCTGCAAGGATGGGTGGTGGTCGTGGGTTGCTGAGAAGATGGAGTCTGCCTCAGTGGCCCGCGATCACAAATCCCTATTTAACTCCATCAAAAAAGTAACCTGCAGCACCACACCTATTACCATCCTTAGGGGAAAAAAACGGTGATCCAATCTCTGACCCTCAGGAACAGGTTAGCAGATTTTCTGAGCATTTATGTAAGGTCCTGGGGGAGGGGAACTCCCTCAGCCAGGAAAACATCATGGCACAAAGTGGGGATGACCCTGCTGAGGCTGCGGTGCCTCAAATATGGAAGAAGTCACCCCCTGTGAGTGACTGGCTGAGGTGCCATCTGTTGAGGAAGTACTGCAGGCGATCCGGAGTCTGAGACCAGGAAAGGCACCGGGCAGAGATGATCTCCCAAGCGAAATGCTGAGGGAGGGTGGCGTTTATGCACAGACTGCCCTATATGACATCATAACAACAGTCTGGACTACTGGACGGGTTCCGCAGGATTGGAAGGATGCCTGGTGGTCCCCCTCTTTAAGAAGGGGGACCGCACAGACTGTAACAACTACAGGGGCATCTCACTCCTCAGTGTGCCGGGAAAGGTCCTGGCAAGGATTATTCAATATTGCCTTGCCAGGCACGCTGAAGAGAGGCTTGCGGAGCCCCAATGCGGTTTCAGGAAAGGGCGGTCCTGCACAGATGCCATATTTTCTGTCCATCTGCTACAGCAGAGGTATAGGGAATTTCAACCAAACCTACATCTCTGCTTTATTGACCTGGTCAAGGCCTATGGTACCATCAGTAGGCCTGGGCTCTGGGTTGTTCTTCGTGTTTTCGGAGTCCCTGACCTTCTGCTCACGATCATTAAGGACCTTCATGATGGTGAGCGGGCCCGGGTAAAACTACGTGGCCGGGAGACAGAGCCATTCCCTGTACACCTTGGGGTGCGACAGGGATGTCCTCTGGCTCCCACATTATTTAACATCTATTTTGACCACGTAGTGCGTGAAGCTTTCAATATCTGTACCGGGGGAATTTCCATTTGGTACAGATATAATGGGAGGCTGATCGATCGAGCTGAGTGGACTTGCCGATGACCGGTACCAGCGGTGTCAAGATCGGCCTCTGTGGAGGATGCTCGTGAAGGACGCTACTGGGCAGTTGGAGGCAGTCGCCCTCCAACAACAACGGAGGGCGGAGGAGCGACGCTCACAACAATGAGCAGGGCGCCGGGTGGCTAAAGCACAGCAAGTTGGCACAGTAGGGGGCACAGGTGTGCATCAGCCACTCGTCTCAGTCATCTCAGTCAGTCGACCCGTGGCACCTGGGTCTGCCCCGTGACCTCCTGCCAGCGGGCATTCGACACTTCACGTGGCCTCAAGGTGGACATGGCCTGGCACAAGCGTCGTGGTGACGTCACTGCCACTTAGTGGCGAATGGCGGTTATTGTTGTTGTTGTGTAATTGTGTGTGTGTGTGGTGTGTGTGTGGTGTGTGTGTGTGTGGTGTGTGTGGTGTGTGTGTGTGGTGGTGTGTGTGTATGTGTGTGTGGTGTGCGTGTGTATGTGTGTGTGGTGTGTGTGGTGTGTGTATGTGTGTGTGGTGGTGTATGTGGTGTGTGTGGTGTGTGTGTGTGGTGTGTGTGTGTGTGTGTGGTGTGTGTGTGTGGTGTATGGTGTGGTGTGTGTGTGTGGTGTGTATGTGTGTGTGGTGGTGTGGTGTGGTGTGTGTGGTGGTGTGTGTGGTGTGTGGTGTGTGGTGTGTGTGTGGTGTGTGTGTGTGGTGTGTGTATGTGTGTGTGGTGGTGTGTGTGTATGGTGTGTGCGTGGTGTGGTGTATGTGTGTGTGTGTGTGTGTGGTGTGTGTGTATGTGTGTGGTGTGTGTGGTGTGTGTGGTGTATGTGCGTGGTGTGTGTATGTGTGTGGTGGTGTATGTGTGTGTGTGGTGTGTGTGCGTGTGTGTGTGCGTGGTGTGTGTGTGTATGTGTGCGTGTGTGGTGTATGTGTGTGTGGTGTGTGTGTGTGTATGTGTGGTGTGTGTGTGGTGTGTGTTTGGTGTGTGTGTGTGTGTGTGTGTGGGTGTGTGTGGTGTGGTGTGTGTGTGTGTGGTGTGTGTGTGTGTGTGGTGTGTGTGTGGGTGTGTGTGTGTGTGTGGTGTGTGTGTGTGTGTGGTGTGTGTGGTGTGTGGTGTGTGTGTGGTGGTGTGTGTGGTGTGTATGTGGTGTGTATGTGTGGTGGTGTGTGTGGTGTGTGTGTGTGGTGTGGTGGTGTGTGTGTGTGTGTGTGTGTGTGGTGTGTGTGTGTGGTGTGTGGGGTGTGGTGTGTGTGGTGTGTGTGTGGTGGTGTGTGTGGTGTGTGTGTGTGGTGTGTGTGTGGGGTGGTGTGTGTGTGTGGTGGTGTGTGTGTGTGGTGTGTGTGGTGTGTGTGTGTGTGTGTGTGGTGTGTGTGTGTGGTGTGTGTTTGTGGTGTGTGTGTGTGGTGTGTGTGTGTGGTGGGTGTGTGTGTGTGGTGTGTGTGTGGTGTGTGTGTGTGGTGTGTGTGGGGTGTGTGTGGTGTGTGTGTGTGTGTGTGTGTGTGTGTGTGTGTGTGTGTGGTGTGTGTGTGTGTGTGTGGTGTGTGGTGGTGTGTGTGTGTGGTGGTGTGTGTGTGGTGGTGTGTGGTGTGTGGTGTGTGTGTGTGTGGTGGTGGTGTGTGTGTGTGGTTGGTGGTGTGTGTGGGTGGGTGGTGTCAACCAATTGGGCAACGCCACTCATTTCCTCACCCGGCGTCTCCCTGGTGGCATTCTTCAGCCGCCACTCTTCCTCGTCCTCGTCCCAACGTACCTTCTAGCTGCTCACCCGCACAGCTCACACAGCTGACAACACACACACACACTCACTCACCCACTACACTCACACATCACACTCACTCACACGCTCACTCACTCACACATTCACACACTCACTCACACACTCAGTCACACACTCACTCACACACTCACTCACTCATACACACGCACACACTCACTCACTCACGCACACACTCACTCACACACACACACTCACTCACTCATACACACTCACTCACGCACACACTCACTCACACACACACACTCACACACTCACACAAACACTCACTCACACATTCACACCTCACTCACACACTCATTCACACACACACTCACTCACACACACGCACACACACACTCACTCATACAACAACAACAACCGCTATTCGCCACTAGGTGGGCGGTGGACGCACCACGACGCTTGTGCCAGGCCATGTGCACCTTGAGGAGGTCACGGGGCAGGACCCAGCAGGTGCCACGGGTCGACTGACCGAGATGACTGGCTGATGCACCACCTGTGCCCCCTACTGTGCCAACTAGCTGTGCTTTAGCCACCCGGCGCTCCCGCTCGTTGTTGTGAGCGTCGCTCCTCCGCCCTCCGTTGTTGTTGGAGGTGACTGCCTCCAACTGCCCAGTAGCGTCCTTCACGAGCCTCCTCCACAGAGGCCGAACTTGACACCGCTGGTACCAGTCATCGGCAAGTCCACTCAGCTCCACGTCTCCTGTACCACATCACTCCATCTCTTCTCTAGCCGTGCCGCGCCCGTCTAGCCCCCTCGATCGGCCGAACAAAAGCTGTTTAGGCCTGCGGTGGGCTAGGGCATGCGGGCTAATTGACCCACCAACGCAGCCGTCACCTGCCGGAGGAGATCACCGATGGGACTTTGCCCAGATCTTTCAAGGACTTGTGAGCTCCTCCACATAATCCAGCCTGGTTAAACCCAGGATGGATCGTAGGCAGGCCAGCCTAAATGTTTCCAACCGGCGAAGATGCTCCATTAGGAGGGTCCACGTTTCGCAAGCGTAGAGAAGGGAGGGAATGACTGTGGCCGAGAAGAGCTGAAGTTATCGTGCGGAGCGACAGACCAGGTAGCTTCCACACAGCGTTACGCAACCGATGAAAGATATTGCCGCTCGACTGATTCACACACTCACTCACACACTCCATCATACACACGTACAGGCACACACACAGACACACACGCACACACACTCACTCACACAAGCAAACACTCACACACACGCACGCAGACACACAACGCACACGCAGACACACGCACACACAGACACGCAAACACACAGACACGCACGCACCCACGCAGACGCACGCACGCAGACACAACCCACGCAGACACACGCACAACACAGACACGCAAACACACACACTCACGCACGCCTCATGTAGAAACACAACGCACACGCAGACACACGCACACACAGACACGCAAACACACACACTCACGCACGCACACACACTCACTCACACATGCAAACAATCACACACGCAAACACTCACACGCAAACACACACGCACGCACACACACAACGCACACGCAGACACACACACACAGACACGCAAACACACACACTCACGCACGCACGCAGACACACAACGCACACGCAGACACACGCACACACAGACAAGCAACACACACACTCACACACGCACGCACACGCACGCACACGCAGACACACGCACACATAGACACGCAATCACACACACTCACGCACGCACGCAGACACACAACGCACACACAGACACGCAAACACACACACTCACACACGCACACACAACGTGCCAATCAAGAAGACGGCAATGGACAACGGACCGCCGTCGTCTGCCTCACCTCTTGGACGCTGGCGGTCCCCGCGGGGACGCTGGGGAACTCCTCGGCTTTGCCCCCCCCCCGCGTGGCCCCCCCCCTCGTGGCCCCCCCCCGTGGCCCCCCCCCTCGTGCCCCCCCCCTCGTCCAGAGGGACGGCGCCTCCTCCTGCGGCCGCTCCGGGAGGCGTTTCTCGGCGCCCCCATCGTGGGCGACACCCGGCGGCGTCTCGATCCACTCCTGCGGGGGGGCGCCGTCCCGCGTCAGGTTGGCGGCGCGCTCGTGCCGGGCTAGGTGCACCCGCTCAGTCGCTCGTCCGTTCCCCCGCCCGCCGATTGGCGCGGTCGACCGGGTAGGTAGGGCCGAAAGAAGTTCAACTCGCGTCGTACGCAGTTGGCGAGCGACGTCGCGGGGAGACCCTGGGGGGCGCGGTGACGTCACGTCACCCGAGACGGTATTCAGGGGGAAGCCCGTGGCCTAGGAGGAGGGTTGTCGCTCCCGTGGGAGCCGGGAACGGGAGAGGCTGCAGGCTGGGGGCACAACGGGGTCGTACGCGTACCCGGCCGCACCAGGGTCACAAACGGGTACCCGTACCCGGCCGTACCCGTACCCTACCCGTACCCGGCCGTACCCGGCCGGGTACGGGTTGGGTACGGGTATCGGGTACCCGATTGCGACCTCTGGTATGAAGCCATGTTGCAGGCGCGGGTGGGTTGATTCTAGGAACTTGAATTGTGAGAAGAGACAAGACGTTGGGAAATGAGTGACACACGGTGACTCACAAGTGACTCACGGCCTACCCGTACCCGGTACAGGTAGGGGTAGCCGGGTAGGGTACGGGTAGGGTACGGGTATCGGGTAGGGTGCGGGTATCGGGTAGGGTACGGGTATCGGGTAGGGTACGGGTATCGGGTAGGGTACGGGTATCGGGTAGGGTGCGGGTATCGGGTAGGGTACGGGTACGGGTAGGGTGCGGGTATGGGGTAGGGTACGGGTATCGGGTACCCGGTTGCGACCTCTGCCCAGTACCATGTCCCCTGGGGAGCTATCAGCTAAGCCGGTGACCTGGTTAGGGGTAAGCGGTAACCTGGTTAGGGGTAACCTGGTTAGGGGTAACCTGGTTAGAGGTAAGCAGTAACCTGGTTAGGGGTAAGTGGTACACACGCGCACACGCAAACACACGTGCACACGGGCGGCGGTTCACCGCACGTCTCACGGCGTCGTGACGTCACGCAGCCTTCGAGCCCACAGCTCCCTCCTCCCCTCTAACACCGCCTCCTCGTGTCCCACGCGTCTCTCGTTCATCTCTCGGGCTTCCGACCCGCGAGGTTGCCTCCGTGACGTTGCAAACGGAGTGGGGACCCCGCACCCCCTGGCCACCACGGCGAGCGTGGGGAATGCACAGCGGTCAAGTGCTCTCACTCGCGCAACGTCCATTCTCCACGTGGGAGGGGGAAAACCCGGAGGGCCACGGGAAAGAATCCACACCGACCACGGAGAGAGGAGGGAGAGACACGCAGACTCCAAATACACGACGGAGCGTCAGGGTCGGGATAGAACCCACGACCTCCTGTACACCAGGCGAGATTGTTAACATCTCCTAGCCACCGTGATGATGATGATGAGAGAGAGACGCAGACTCCAAATCTACAGCAGCAGGCGTCGTCAGGGTCGGGATCGAACCCACGACCTCCTGTATACCAGGCGAGGTAGTTAACATCTCCTAGCCACCGTGATGATGATTATAGAGAGAGACACACAAACTCCAAATATACAGCAGCAGGCGTGAGGATTGGGATCGAACCCACGACCTCCTGCGCACCAGGCGAGGTAGTCAACATCTCCGAGCCACAGAGCGAGCGAGTGAGCGAGCGCCGCTTACCGTGCAGGAGCGGTACCAGCGGCGGTGCGTGACCTCGCTGCCCGGGTCTTTGCTGTCGCGGTTGACGCGGTAGTGCCAGTCCAGGTGGTCGGCGTAGGCGCTCGCCTGGCGCCCCGTGAAGCGCAAGCTGCACGAGTGGCACTGGACACCCGAGTAGAGGCGCCGCACCGCGCCGCCGTGGCGCCTGTGCGCACGCACACACGCACACACGCACACGCAGATATACACATGCGCACACACGCACACACACGCACGCACACGCGCACACACGCGCACACGCACACACACACACGCGGATGTACACACGCACACGTACACACGCACACACAGACACACGCACGTACACACGCACACACACGCGGATGTACACACGCAATACCACGCACACACACACGCGATGTACACGCACACACACACGTACACGTACACACGCACACAAACGCACACACAGACACACCACGCACACACACGCGGATTACACACGCACACACACACGGATGTACACACGCACACGCACCACACGCGGATATACACACGCACACACACACGCGGATGTACACACGCACACAAAGATAAAGACAAAGATCCCCCGTATAGCCTGAACAGACTGTAGGGGCAAGTGCTGTTAGCGAGCACCTATGAAGGCCGGAACGGTACACGAGGGGGTGGGTGGCCAGCACCACGCCCGACCGCCTTTGTCTCCCTAGTGGCGATGTTTACACACCACACCAGGTACTCATTTAAGGCTGAGTCGACCTAGGGGAGGCCCAGGACCGGTTCAGATAATCGTCACTGGTGTTAGCCGTGAGCGGGAATCGAACCCGGGTCGCCAGGTTCATAGCGCAGCGCGCTAACCGCTACACTACCGCTCCCCACACACGCACACATACACACGTACACACGCACACACAGACAAACGCACACACACAAACGCAGATATACACTCGCACACACACGCGGATATACACACGCACAGACACGCACACACGCACACACACACACACGCGGATATACACTCGCGCGCTCGCATATACTCACACACGCACACACGCACACACAGCGGATATACACTCGCGCGCTCGCATATACTCACACACGCACACACAAGACATCCTCATGGCAAGATCACCGCAGCGAGCGCTTTCAGACGCGCCTCCTGCCTCATGTGAGCAATCCACTGGAGTTGTCCACTTTTAAATCATCGCTGACTCACGAATTTCTTTAGAAATGCTTTTTGTGTTTTTTACTTTGTGATCCTTACCCCCGGCACCTCCAATTAGCACGGTTGGCTACGAACACACTAACACCAATACCCCGCCATTCGCCACACAGCGACGGTGACGTCACCACGGCGACCGTGCCAGGCCAGGTGCACGTTGAGGCCGCGTGAAGTGTCGAAGGCTCGCTGCTGGCAGAAGGTCTCGGGACAGAAACCTGTAGGTGCCACGGGTTGGCTGACTGAGATGACCGGTAGATGCACCACCAGCTGTAACCCCCCTGCTGTGCCAGGCTAGGTGCAGGAGGTCACAGGGCAGACCCAGCAGGTGCCATTGGTTGACTGACTGAGATGACCGGTAGATGCACCACCAGCTGTACCCTCCCTACTGTGCCAGGCTAGGTGCAGGAGGTCACGGGACAGACCCAGCAGGTGCCACGGGTTGGCTGACTGAGATGACCGGTAGATGCACCACCAGCTGTACCCCCTGCTGTGCCAGGCTAGGTGCAGGAGGTCACGGGACAGACCCTGCAGGTGCCACGGGTTGGCTGACTGAGATGACCGGTAGATGCACCACCAGCTGTACCCCCCTGCTGTGCCAGGCTAGGTGCAGGAGGTCACGGGGCAGACCCTGCAGGTGCCACGGGTTGACTGACTGAGATGACTGGTAGATGCACCACCAGCTGTACCCCCCTACTGTGCCAGGCTAGGTGCAGGAGGTCACGGGACAGACCCTGCAGGTGCCACGGGTTGGCTGACTGAGATGACCGGTAGATGCACCACCAGCTGTACCCCCCTGCTGTGCCAGGCTAGGTGCAGGAGGTCACGGGACAGACCCTGCAGGTGCCACGGGTTGACTGACTGAGATGACCAGTAGATGCACCACCACCACCTGTACCCTCTGCTGTGCTAACTTTCTGCGTTTTAGCCGCCCGGCGCTCCGCTCGTTGTTGTGAGCGTCGCTCCTCCGCCCTCCGTCGTTGCTGGAGGGCGACTGCCTCCAACCGCCCGTCGTTGGTTCGATCCCGCCGCCGCCGCCGCCGCCGCTGCCGCTGCTGCTGCGTATTTGAACGTTCTCCCCGTGGTCTAGTGGAATTTTGTCTCGGGGTCGCTGCGTTTTTTTCCCCCCTTCCACGTTGAAAACCAACGTCGTCGTCAACGCGCTGTAAGTGCCCACGACGACGAGCCACTTCACCGGGCCATCGGTGGAGCGATGCTGACGCTCACCGCTTGAGGTCTTCGATGGCGAAGCCGGAGAGGTCCGGAATGTCGTCGTCGTCGTCCTCTGCGGATGCCTCCTCACCTCTGGTGGACGTCTCCTCCGTCGCGCCGCCAGCGTCGCTCCCGGCACGAGCGTCGTCTGTCGGCGAGAGAGAAACACGAGCGGAGCGGGGTCAGAGGGGGGGGGGAGGCGGCCATCGGTGAGCCCCCCCCCCATCCCTGTCCACCTTCCGCCCCTCCCCCTACCCCCAGTGGTCACGTGACCTCACTCCGACTCCCGCCACCTCCGCGCAGGAGAACTCCGTCGTTCGTGACCCCGTCGCTCGTGACCCCGTCGCTCGTGACCCCGTCGTTCGTGACCCCGTCGCTCGTGACCCCGTCGCCAGAGGTCGCAAACGGGTTTTGATTCCTTACCCGTACCCGTACCCGGCCGCACCAGGGTCGCAAACGGGTACCCTACCCGTACCCTACTCGTACCCTACCCGTACACGTACCCTACCCGTACACGTACCCTACCCGTACCCTACCCGTACCCTACCCGTACCCTACCCGTACACGTACCCTACCCGTACACGTACCCTACCCGTACCCTACCCGGCCGGGTGCGGGTATCGGGTACCCGATTGCGACCTCTGGGAAAGCCATGTTGCAGGCGCGGGTGGGTTGATTCTAGGAACTTGAACTGTGAGAAGAGACAAGATGTTGGGAAATGAGTGACAAACGGTTACTCACCAGTGACTCACGGCCTACCCGTACCCGGCCGCACCAGGGTCGCAAACGGGTACCTGTACCCGGCCGGGTACGGGTAGCCGGGTATCGGGTAGGGTAAGGGTATCGGGTACCCGGTTGCGACCTCTGCCGAGTACCCCCAGGTCGGCACGACGACCTGGGGGTGTGGGGCTTCCATCTCCTCTCTCACCGGCCGTGCCGCCGACGCCGGCGGTCGCCGTCGCCGCCACCGCCTGGACTTGCAGGATTCCCGAGGCGACGAGCTTCCAGAAGAGCGAGTTCACCTGCTCGGCCTGAGCGGCGTGGGCAGCCGCTCCCGTCGCTGCACTCGGGGGGCGACGCAGAGACACGCAGAGAGACAACGTCATCGCCGCAGCAGCAGCAGCAGCAGCGCTTGTGCCAAGCTAGGTGGTAGCGGTGAAGGGCAGCGGTGGTGGCGAGCGGTGGTGGCGAGCGGTGGTGGTGAGCGGTGGTGGCGAGCGGTGGTGATGTTGAGTAGCGGTGAGTGGTGGTGGTGAGCGGTGGTGGTGAGTAGCGGTGAGCGGTGGTGGCGAGCGGTGGTGGTGAGTAGCGGTGAGCGGTGGTGGCGAGCGGTGGTGATGTTGAGTAGCGGTGAGCGGTGGTGGTGAGCGGTGGTGGCGAGCGGTGGTGGCGAGCAGTGGTGGTGAGCGGTGGTGGCGAGCGGTGGTGGTGAGTAGCGGCGAGCAGTGGTGGTGAGCGGTGGTGGCGAGCGGTGGTGGCGAGCGGTGGTGGTGAGTAGCGGTGAGCGGTGGTGGTGAGTAGCGGCGAGCGGTGGTGGTGAGCGGTGGTGGTGAGCGGTGGTGGTGAGCGGTGGTGGCGAGCGGTGGTGGTGAGTAGCGGTGAGCGGTGGTGGTGAGCGGTGGTGGTGAGTAGCGGTGAGCGGTGGTGGTGAGTAGCGGCGAGCGGTGGTGGTGAGCGGTGGTGGCGAGCGGTGGTGGTGAGTAGCGGTGGTGGTGAGTAGCGGTGAGCGGTGGTGGCGAGCGGTGGTGGTGGTGAGCTGTAAGGTGGGGGCGGCAAACAATCACTCACGCATCAGCTGCTGGTGTTGAGTCAGCTGCTGGTGTTGAGTCAGCTGCTGGTGCTGAGTCAGCTGTTGGTGCTGCGTCAGCTGTTGGTGCTGCATGAGCTGCTGGTGTTGAGTCAGCTGCTGGTGCTGAGTCAGCTGTTGGTGCTGCGTCAGCTGTTGGTGCTGCATGAGCTGCTGGTGTTGAGTCAGCTGCTGGTGCTGCATCAGCTGCTGGTGTTGAGTCAGCTGTTGGTGCTGCGTCAGCTGTTGGTGCTGCATCAGCTGCTGGTGTTGAGTCAGCTGTTGGTGCTGCGTCAGCTGTTGGTGCTGAGTCAGCTGCTGGTGTTGAGTCAGCTGCTGGTGCTGAGTCAGCTGCTGGTGCTGAGTCAGCTGCTGAGTCAGCTGCTGGTGCTGAGTCAGCTGCTGGTGGCCCAGCCAGTAGTCCGGCCGGTGGCCCAGCAGGTTGCCCGGCGGCCGCGCAGCAAACTGCGTCCCGCCGTCAAAGAGCCACCCGTGCGGTCCCTCCCAAGTGGTTTGTCGTTGATGTCGTTGTTGACGTCGTTGTTGACGTCGTTGTTGATGTTGACGCCACTGCTGCTGCCCGCCGTACCGAGGCCCGGCCTCGAAGTCTGACGGGCCGTCGAACCGAGGAACCCCGTGCCCGTCGACCCGCACGCCCCTGGGGCCCCGCGGCCCGTCGAATCTACGTCCTCCCGGCGGCCCGTGGAAGTCCGGCGGCCCGTGGCCCAAGGCGGCCCACTGGGGTCCGTCGGGAAACCCGTGGGGGGCGACGGGGAGGGAGGTCGACGTCGCTCCGCTGCCCGGGGGCAACCTCCTCCTGCTCCGTCTCCTCCGTGGGGAGGAGGAGCGGCGCTGTGCGGGAGCCGCCGTGTCGAGGCGGCGATGGAGGAGGCGGCGGTGGCCGTTGACCCCCGCTGCAGAAGAGTCTCTCCGCTGCTGATGCTGCTGCTGCCGCCGCTGCCGCTGTTGCTGCTGCTGCTGCTGCCGCCGCTGTTGCTGCTGCTGCTGCTGTGGTTGTGGGTTGTCCTGGCCGGCGCCGATCCTACAACAACAACAATGACAACGACGACGACAACAACGGTGTCCCTCACCCCTCCGCACAACACACGCACAACACACACACACAACACGCGCAAATAACACACGCACAACACACGCACAACACACACACGCACACAACACGCGCACACAACACACACACACAACACGCGCACACAACCACACACACAACACACAACACACACACAACACGCGTACAACACGCGCACAACACACACACAACACGCGCACACACACACACACAACACACACAACACACAACACAACACACAAACACACACACAACATGCGTACAACACACGCACAACACACACACAACACGCACACAACACACGCAAATAACACGCGCACAACACACGCACACAACACACACACAACACACACAACACACACACAACACGCGCACACAACACACACACAACACACACAAACACACACACACAACACGCGCACACAACACGCGCACAAACACACACACAACACACACACACAACACGCGCACACACACACACACAACACACACACAACACACACAAAACACACACACAACACGCACACAACACACACACAACACACAACACACACACACACAACACACACAAACACACAGACACAACACGCGCTGGCTCGTAAACGCCCACCCGGGGGAGCAGCTTCTCCTCCTCCTCTTCTTCTGCGGCGGTGGCGGTGGTGGCGGTGGTGGCGGTGGTTCCGTCTCCTGGACGGGCGCGGAGGGCGGGCGGGGGCCGACCCAGAGGCCGCCAGGAGCTCGGGGAGATGTTCCCGGACCCGGACGCCTCCTGGGGGGGAAGGGGGGGTGGAGAGCGGTGACGAAAACTTTCCCCGATAGGGCTTCTTTAGTGAGGGTGGCACAGATGGTGATCCAGGATCCACAGTTTCAGCTGGCGGGAGGCCGACGGGTGAAGATTGAGGCTGCTGCCCCCCCCTCTCTCCGGCAAAGGGGGGGCGGGGGGGGAAGGCCATGGAGGCCAGCGGCGACGCGCAAGCGGCGGCGGCGGCGACCGAGGGAGCGCAACAGCCGGACCCGGCCTCGCTTGCACCCCCGACGCAGCGAGGAGAAGAGGTGACGCTGACCGCCGCCGCCGCCGGAGACGTTGGTGTGCCGGGCGGCGCTGCTGCTGCAGCTGCTACTACTGATGCTACTACTGCTGCTACTACTGCTGCTACTACTGCTGCTGCTGCTACTACTGCTGCTGCAGCTGCAGCTGCTACTACTGATGCTGCTGCTGCTGCTGCTGCTACTACTGATGCTGCTGCTGCTGTTGCTACTACTGATGCTGCTGCTACTGCTGCTGCTGCTACTACTACTGCTGCTGCTGCTACTACTGCTGCTGCTGCTGCTACTGCTGCTGTTGCTACTACTGCTGCTGCTGCTACTACTGATGCTGCTGCTGCTGCTACTACTGCTGCTGCTGCTACTACTGATGCTGCTGCTGCTACTACTGATGCTGCTGCTGCTGCTACTGCTGCTGTTGCTACTACTGATGCTGCTACTACTGCTGCTGATGCTGCTACTGCTGCTGCTGTTGCTACTACTGATGCTGCTGCTGCTGCTACTGCTGCTGTTGCTACTACTGATGCTGCTGCTACTGCTGCTGCTGCTACTACTACTGCTGCTGCTACTACTGCTGCTGCTGCTACTACTGATGCTGCTGCTGCTGCGGCGCCGGGGAGCACCTCTTCGCCCGTCCCGATGAGGGAGGGGGGGGAGGAGGCAGAGCCGGCCCTAGACCTTTGGGGGCCCTAAGCAAAATTTGGTTGGAGGCCCCTTTGATGTATGATTTTTTTCACCCACTCGCTAGCAGTGACTCTAGCGGGGCCCTCTGCTGGCCATGGGGCCCTTTGCAATTGCAAGGGTCGCTTAGTGGCTGGGCCGGCTCTGGGAGGAGGTGACTATGGAATTCGAGGGGAGTGGGCTTCCTGGGCTTGAGATCGAGCCCAGCGAGGCCCTGGCCCCAGACGGGTCAGCGGTGGGGACAGGGGGGGCCCACGCCGACATGACAAGCGGATCTGGCGCCGAGGCGCGAGAGGTGAGCGGGGCGAGCGTCGTCAGCGGTGGCGACCGGAAGGGACGGAGAGTGCCGAAGAGCTGGCCTCCGATGCCCAAGATGGGGTGCTCCCCCGACCACCTTCTCGGCTTCCTGAGATGGTCGTACGGGAGGCGCAACATCCGGGTGCAGGACAGCTTCCCCAGCGGGGGGAACTTCGTGAGTGCGGCCTGTCGTGTGGTCCAGGATCCGAGCAAGTTTGATTACAGCCGCCAGGAAATCAATCGGTTAAAGGCCTTGATGAGCAAGGTCCAAAAACAGCCACCATCCCCCCCCCACTACCCCCTTTCCCCCCCGTGGCGCCGAAGACGGCACCACCGCCGCCGTCGCCAGCCGAGGAGGAGGGTGAGGGTGTGGGAGTGGAGGGGCTGCTCTGTCAGGCAAAGGGGTGTGAGAGCCCGGAATGGCAAGCACATCGGACACTGGCTGCGGGGCGGTGGCGATGTGGTGTGTGATGATGATGTGTGATGAATGTGGAGCCGACGCTGCTTAGTTCTTAAGTTGCCGTACAGGCTGGTATTCTGATACATTGGAAACACTCCAGCGCAATTGCCGCTGGAGGCAATAAAGTTATAAAAGTCAAAAAAAAGTCTCGCTCACTCGCTCTCTTCACTCTCTCTCTCGCTGTCACACTCGCTCTCTCACTCACTCGCTCCCACTCGCTCTCTCTCTCTCGCTCACTCACTCACTCGCTCTCTCTCACTCGCTCACTCACTCACTCGCTCTGACTCGCTCATTCTCTCACTCGCTCACTCACTCGCTCTCACTCTCTCACTCGCTCACTCACTCGTTCTCACTCTCTCACTCGCTCACTCGCTCACTCTCTCACTCTCTCACTCACTCGCTCTCTCTCACTCGCTCACTCACTCACTCGCTCTGACTCGCTCATTCTCTCACTCGCTCACTCACTCGTTCTCACTCTCTCACTCGCTCACTCACTCGTTCTCACTCTCTCACTCGCTCACTCGCTCACTCTCTCACTCTCTCACTCACTCGCTCTCTCTCACTCGCTCACTCACTCACTCGCTCTGACTCGCTCATTCTCTCACTCGCTCACTCACTCGCTCTCACTCTCTCACTCGCTCACTCACTTACTCACTCTCTCACTCGCTCGCTCACTCGCTCACTCGCTCACTCTCTCACTCACTCACTCACTCTCTCCTCTCGCTCTCTCTCACTCGCTCACTCACTCACTCGCTCACTCACTCGCTCACTCTCTCGCTCTCACTCACTCGCTCACTCACTCACTCGCTCCCACTCGCTCACTCGCTCACTCGCTCACTCGCTCACTCGCTCTCACTCGCTCACTCGCTCCCACTCGCTCCCACTCGCTCACTCGCTCACTCACTCACTCACTCTCTCTCACTCGCTCCCACTCGCTCGCTCACTCACTCGCTCACTCGCTCCCACTCGCTCACTCACTCACTCGCTCACTCACTCACTCGCTCCTCACTCACTCGCTCTCACTCGCTCACTCACTCGCTCCCACTCGCTCTCTCTCTCTCGCTCTCTCTCACTCGCTCACTCACTCACTCGCTCTCACTCGCTCACTCACTCACTCGCTCTCACTCGCTCACTCACTCGCTCCCACTCGCTCTCTCTCTCTCGCTCTCTCTCACTCGCTCACTCACTCACTCGCTCTCACTCGCTCACTCACTCACTCGCTCTCACTCGCTCACTCACTTGCTCGCTCACTCACTCGCTCACTCATCGCTCGCTCCCACTCGCTCACTCACTCACTCGCTCACTCACTCACTCGCTCACTCACTCACTCGCTCACTCACTCACTCGCTCACTCACTCACTCGCTCACTCACTCACTCGCGCTCACTCGCTCTCACTCGCTCTCACTCACTTGCTCGCTCACTCACTCGCTCACTCACTCACTCGCTCCCACTCGCTCACTCACTCACTCGCTCACTCACTCACTCGCTCACTCACTCACTCGCTCTCACTCGCTCACCTCTCTCACTCACTCGCTCTCACTCGCTCCCACTCGCTCACTCACTCACTCGCTCTCTCTCTCGCTCTCTCTCACTCGCTCACTCACTCGCTCTCTCTCTCACTCGCTCACTCACTCACTCGCTCACTCACTCACTCGCTCCCACTCGCTCTCTCTCTCTCGCTCTCTCTCACTCGCTCACTCACTCACTCGCTCTCACTCGCTCACTCACTCACTCGCTCTCTCTCTCTCACTCGCTCACTCACTCACTCGCTCCCACTCGCTCTCTCTCTCTCGCTCTCTCTCACTCGCTCACTCACTCGCTCTCTCTCTCTCACTCGCTCACTCACTCACTCGCTCACCAGCTTTATCTTCACCCGCCCCAGCTCCAGTTCCAGCCTCCTCCTCCGCAGCTCCATCAGCTGTTTCAGCTGCATCAGCACCAGCCGCCTCATCAGCTCGGCCGCCAATGGGCGGTTCGGCTCCTCGGCCTGCCGGGGGTGGGGGGGTGGCCACGGGAGCGGGTATACACTACACTATACACTACACTACTATACACTACACTACTATACACTATACACTACACTATACACTACTATACACTACACACTATACACTATAGTGTATAGTGTGTAGTGTATAGTGTAGTGTATAGTGTAGTGTATAGTGTAGTGTATAGTGTAGTGTATAGTAGTGTAGTGTATAGTGTAGTGTATAGTGTAGTGTATAGTGTAGTGTATAGTGTAGTGTATAGTGTAGTGTATAGTAGTCTAGTGTATAGTAGTGTAGTGTATAGTGTAGTGTATAGTGTAGTGTATAATGTGTGTATAGTAGTGTAGTGTATAGTAGTGTAGTGTATAGTGTAGTGTATAGTGTAGTGTATAATGTAGTGTATAGTAGTGTAGTGTATAGTAGTGTAGTGTATAATGTAGTGTATAGTGTAGTGTATAATGTAGTGTATAGTAGTGTAGTGTATAGTAGTGTAGTGTATAGTGTAGTGTATAGTGTAGTGTAGTGTAGTGTGTATAGTGTAGTGTATAGTGTAGTGTATAGTGTAGTGTATATAGTGTAGTGTATAGTGTAGTGTATAGTGTAGTGTATAGTGTAGTGTAGTGTATAGTGTAGTGTATAGTGTAGTGTATAGTGTAGTGTATAATGTAGTGTATAGTAATGTAGTGTATAGTAGTGTAGTGTATAGTGTAGTGTATAGTGTAGTGTATAATGTAGTGTATAGTAGTGTAGTGTATAGTAGTGTAGTGTATAATGTAGTGTATAGTGTAGTGTATAATGTAGTGTATAGTAGTGTGTATAGTGTAGTGTATAGTGTATAGTGTAGTGTATAGTGTAGTGTATAGTGTAGTGTAGTGTATAGTGTAGTGTATAGTGTAGTGTATAGTGTAGTGTATAGTGTAGTGTATAGTGTAGTGTATAATGTAGTGTATAGTAGTGTATAGTAGTGTAGTGTATAGTGTAGTGTATAGTGTATAGTGTAGTGTATAGTGTAGTGTATAGTGTAGTGTAGTGTATAGTGTAGTGTATAGTGTAGTGTATAGTAGTGTAGTGTATAGTGTAGTGTATAGTGTAGTGTATAGTGTAGTGTAGTGTAGTGATAGTGTAGTGTAGTGTATAGTGTAGTGTATAGTGTAGTGTATAGTGTAGTGTATAGTGTAGTGTATAGTGTAGTGTATAATGTAGTGTATAGTAGTGTAGTGTATAGTGTAGTGTATAGTGTAGTGTATAATGTAGTGTATAGTAGTGTAGTGTATAGTGTAGTGTATAGTGTAGTGTATAGTGTAGTGTATAGTGTAGTGTATAATGTAGTGTATAGTAGTGTAGTGTATAGTGTAGTGTATAGTGTAGTGTATAGTGTAGTGTATAGTGTAGTGTATAATGTAGTGTATAGTAGTGTAGTGTATAATGTAGTGTATAGTGTAGTGTATAGTAGTGTAGTGTATAGTGTAGTGTATAGTGTAGTGTATAATGTAGTGTATAGTAGTGTAGTGTATAGTGTAGTGTATAGTGTAGTGTATAGTGTAGTGTATAGTGTAGTGTATAGTGTAGTGTATAGTGTAGTGTATAATGTAGTGTATAGTAGTGTAGTGTATAGTGTAGTGTATAGTGTAGTGTATAGTGTAGTGTATAGTAGTGTAGTGTATAGTGTAGTGTATAGTGTAGTGTATAGTTGGAGACCCACCTGGAGGAGATTCCTGGCACGCGTTGACAACGACGGATTCATCTCGTCAGCACGAGTCGTCTCAGCCGCGACCATTCTGCCACGGTCGAAGGCTTGGGACTTGGGGTGACACACAAGATAGGTCAACAGACATCGGGGGGGGGGGGGGGGGCAACTGGCAAAGCTGCCGCCATCGACCGTGAAGAGATGCTCGCCTTGAAGAGGACTTCTGCGGTTGCATTGATGCAAAACTCGTAATGAAGGTCACGAGGTCAGATCGCGTGAAGTATAAATGTTGCGTGGTAACCCTCCACCGGCCGACACAGCCAGGAAGGTTCGTCACGTAAACAACGCGCCAATGAGTTACGAGTATAGCGTTTAGTAGTTTAGTATATAGTAGTGTAGTGTATAGTGTAGTGTATAGTAGTGTATAGTGTAGTAGTGTAGTGTATAGTGTAGTAGTGTAGTGTATAGTGTAGTAGTGTAGTGTATAGTGTAGTGTATAGTAGTGTATAGTGTAGTGTATAGTGTAGTGTATAGTGTAGTAGTGTAGTGTATAGTGTAGTGTATAGTAGTGTATAGTGTAGTGTATAGTGTAGTGTGTAGTGTATAGTAGTGTATAGTGTAGTGTATAGTAGTGTGTAGTGTAGTGTATAGTGTAGTGCATAGTGTAGTGTATAGTAGTGTGTAGTGTATGGTGTAGTGTATAGTGTAGTGTAGTAGTGTATAGTGTAGTAGTGTATAGTGTAGTGTATAGTAGTGTATAATGTAGTGTATAGCAGTGTATAGTGTAGTGTATAGTAGTGTAGTGTATAGTAGTGTAGTGTATAGTAGTGTATAGTGTAGTGTATAGTGTAGTAGTGTAGTGTAGTGTATAGTGTAGTGTATAGTGTAGTAGTGTAGTGTAGTAGTGTAATGTATAGTGTTGTATATAGTCTAGTGTATAGTAGTGTAGTGTATAGTAGTGTAGTGTATAGTGTAGTGCATAGTGTAGTGTATAGTAGTGTGTAGTGTATAGTGTAGTGTATAGTAGTGTAGTGTATAGTGTACAGTAGTGTATAGTATAGTAGTGTAGTGTATAGTGTACAGTAGTGTAGTGTATAGTGTACAGTAGTGTATGGTAGTGTATAGTGTACAGTAGTGTATAGTATAATAGTGTAGTGTATAGTGTACAGTAGTGTATAGTATAAGTGTAGTGTATAGTGTATGGTAGTGTATAGTATAATAGTGTAGTGTATAATGTAGTGTATAGTGTAGTGTACCTGGGCACCGCCATCTTGGCGATGGTCTCTGTGGGATGACATGAGCGCGAATCGGATAATCGATGATAATAATCAATTACCATCGATTATTGATTACCATCGATTATTATCGATTATCCGTTCAGCTGGCCACTGGCGAGCAGTCGCGATTAACGACGTGGTCAGAAGTCGAGTAAGAAGCGGTGAGTTTCATTGGAGATGGTGACTACCTCGCCAGGTGTGCAGGAGGCGTGGGTTCGATCGTGACCCTGACGATACCTGCCAATGTATGTTTGTGTGTGGCTATGAGATGTTGACTACCTCGCCAGGTGTGCAGGAGGTCGTGGGTTCGATCCTGACCCTGACGATGCCTGCCAATGTATGTTTGTGTGTGGCTGGGAGATGTTGACTACCTCGCCAGGTGTGCAGGAGGTCGTGGGTTAGATTCCGACCCTGACGATGCCTGCCAATGTATGTTTGTGTGTGGCTGGGAGATGTTGACTACCTCGCCTGGTGTGCAGGAGGTCGTGGGTTCGATCCCGACCCTGACGATGCCTGCCAATGTATGTTTTGTGTGACTGGGAGATGTTGACTACCTCGCCAGGTGTGCAGGAGGTCGTGGGTTCGATCGTGACCCTGACGATACCTGCCAATGTATGTTTGTGTGTGGCTATGAGATGTTGACTACCTCGCCAGGTGTGCAGGAGGTCGTGGGTTCGATCCTGACCCTGACGATGCCTGCCAATGTATGTTTGTGTGTGGCTGGGAGATGTTGACTACCTCGCCAGGTGTGCAGGAGGTCGTGGGTTAGATTCCGACCCTGACGATGCCTGCCAATGTATGTTTTTGTGTGGCTGGGAGATGTTGACTACCTCGCCAGGTGTGCAGGAGGTCGTGGGTTCGATCCTGACCCTGACGATGCCTGCCAATGTATGTTTGTGTGTGGCTGGGAGATGTTGACTACCTCGCCAGGTGTGCAGGAGGTCGTGGGTTAGATTCCGACCCTGACGATGCCTGCCAATGTATGTTTTTGTGTGGCTGGGAGATGTTGACTACCTCGCCAGGTGTGCAGGAGGTCGTGGGTTCGATCCCGACCCTGACGATGCCTGCCAATGTATGTTTGTGTGTGGCTGGGAGATGTTGACTACCTCGCCTGGTGTGCAGGAGGTCGTGGGTTCGATCCCGACCCTGACGATGCCTGCCAATGTATGTTTGTGTGTGGCTGGGAGATGTTGACTACCTCGCCAGGTGTGCAGGAGGTCGTGGGTTCAATCCCGACCCTGACGATGCCTGCCAATGTATGTTTGTGTGTGGCTGGGAGATGTTGACTACCTCACCTGGTGTGCAGGAGGTCGTGGGTTCGATCCCGACCCTGACGATGCCTGCCAATGTATGTTTGTGTGTGACTGGGAGATGTTGACTACCTCGCCTGGTGTGCAGGAGGTCGTGGGTTCGATCCGACCCTGACGATGCTGCCAATGTATGTTTGGAGTTTGCGTCTCTCTCCTCCCGTGGTCGCGTGGATTTTGTCTCCTGGTCCTCCAGTTTTTCCCTCCACGTTTAGAAACACACGAGTTGAGATTATTTGGCTTCTGCTACAAATGTTCACGCGATGATGAACCACTTTGGTGGGCAATCATTTGTGATGGCCAGGTAGCTTCTGAGGAAGAGCTATGATGCTGCTTAGTGAGCCTTACCCGCTGGGAAAAGCATTGTTTTAGTTGAGCTATCTCTGCATGACCCAGCTAAGTCTCCAACACCTGCTGTCAATAGCCGCATTATCATCACCATTATCATCACCATCATCATCACCACCATCATCACACCATCATCATCACCACCATCATCACCACCATCATCATCACCATCATCATCACCACCATCATCACCATCATCATCACCATCATCATCACCACCATCATCATCACCACCATCATCACCACCATCATCATCACCACCATCATCCACCATCATCATCACCACCATCGTCAACATCGTCACCACCACAACAACAACCACCACCACAACAACAACAACCACCACCACCACAACAACACCACCACAACCACAACACAAACAACATCCACCCCACAACAACAACCACCACCACCACAACAACATCCACCACCACAACAACCACCACCACAAACAACAACCACCACCACACAAACAACAACAACAACCACCACAACAACCACCACCACACAAACAACAACAACCACCACAACAACCACCACCAAACAAACAACAACCACCACCACACAAACAACAACCACCACAACAACCACCACCACACAAACAACAACAACCACCACACACAACCACCACCAAACAAACAACAACCACCACCACACAAACAACAACCACCACAACAACCACCACCAACAACAACCAACCACAACAACAACCACCACCACACAAACAACAACAACCACCACAACAACAACCACCACACAAACAACACAACCACCACAACAACCACCACCACAACAAAACAACCACCACAACAACAACCACCACACAAACAACAACCACCACAACAACAATCTCCTACCTGGGTGCCGCCATCTTGGCAATGGTCGCCGGGCGATGTCGTCACCACGAATCGGATGTTCGATTCTCATCGATTACCGTTCGTCGATTCCCATCGATTCGGGGGGAGCGAACTTCCGGCATCCTCACTCGCCCCTCCCCCTTCTGCTGCTGACCGCCCATCAATGACGTCACGCACGTGGGGGGGGGGGCGGGGGTCAGACATCTGTGACGATGCGTGACGAGGGGGGGGTGAGAAATGTGACGTCACATCAAAATGCGAAACTTTAAATAAATACTGGCGGTAAGTACCCGGCTTTGCTCGGGCGAAAAGGCAGACACACACAACAACAACCGCCATTCGCCACTAAGTGGCGGTGACGTCACCACGACGCTTGTGCCAGGCCAAGTGCACCTCGAGGCCACGTGAAGTGTCGAACGCCCGCTGGCAGGAGGTCACGGGGCAGACCCAGCAGGTGCCACGGGTCGACTGACCGAGATGACCGAGATGACACACACATGAACTTACGCACAGACATTGACCCACACACATAGAAACACATCGACTTAGACACACACACACACACATTGGTTAAACCCAGGATGGATCTTAGCAGGCCAGCCTAAATGTTTGTAACCGGCGAAGATGCTCCATCAGGGGGGTGCACGTTTCGCAAGCGTAGAGAAGGGAGGGAATACCGTGGCCGAGAAGACCTGGAGCTTCGTGCGGAGCGACAGACCAGGTAGCTTCCACACAGCGCTACGCAGCCGATGAAAAGATAATGGCGCTCGACTGATTTGGGCACATCGTCAGCGAGTCCAGGAAAGCCAAAACTGCGTGTGTGCGCACACCGCGAAAGGCCAAAGATTTCGGTGGGGGGGGGGGGGGGGAGGAAACCGCGTTTGTCGCGCTGTGGGACGGCCTCATGGCTGCTTTGTGACGTCATAAACCCACGTGCATCGATGCCCTTATAGAGACCGCTTTGTGACATCCTACACACAAACACAGCACATCTGGGGGCTCGCTCTAATGAGTTGAAAAACATTCCAAGGGGCAATTCAGTGGCCCTGTATGTACACAAGTTTTTGGGATGACCTCCAGAGGGAGAATGCTCGGGGGGGTTGATGACATTAAGTGCCAGGAGGTCCGTGGAGCCAGAAGCAAAGGTGACCTCAGGCTGGCCCCACGAATCGTCGAGAGGCGTGAAAGTGGCAGCAGCTTTGAGCTTTGATGCGTCTGTAATGAGAGCGTCAATGGGGTTGTTGCTGGGCTCTGGTCCAATCACGCGGCCCGGGGCGTTGGGGGGCGGAGCTGGTCTGCGGGGCGTGTGGGAGGGGCCACCGGTCACCTCGGCAGCTCCAATGGGAGGCGAGGTGAATGGGGGCGGAGCCAG